ACAACAGGTTTGGTCACCATTACTTAATTAAAAACAGGACATTTTCTCACTGCAGGTAAGGAAACCATATAGCCTGAGAATATGACACAGTCCTTTCCTAGCAAAAATAGTCAGCCACCCTCCACATATGAGCCTTTTACTTTCACTCTATCACAGATTAATGACAATTGTGCCACTTAATGGCTCCTGTCTGTGTTTTAGCAACTTTCCTGGATGCGTTATGGTACAACTGTCAAAAGAACATGAAATCAGTCACATAAATTGTGAAATAAATAATGGTCCAGCTTGTCCTACAGCAATATGAAAGTTACAATTTTTCTTTCATCAAGGTAGAAAATAAAGCTAAAGATAAATTTAAGCACCTCCACTGAGCTTTCTCAATTGGCTACCGCAAACACTGCCCAGTAACCAGTGCTCCTACCCAACCCCACCTCCACAAAATTATTGAGTTGCACTACACAGGACCCTAAGACACTAGGGCCATGCTTCCATGAGTATGATAATGTAGGAATGAATAGGAAAGGGGCAATTCAAACAGGGGCCCCCATCAGAGGCTGCAGGGACACAGAACTGGGACAGCGCTGAGACACAGGGACTCGCCGGGACCTAGTCCAGGGACCTGTGGCTCAGTCACCATTAGCACTGCTTCATCTCTGCGCCATAAAGAGCCACTCCACCCTCCACTGGACGTGAGAGGCCTGGGGAAAGAAAGGAGTCTAAACAACAATGGCTCATCTAACTCAAAGAGAGAGTGAGTGGTGGCTATGGCTGACTGTATTGTCATTCAAAACTCACCGCTGCATCTCGGGGCCAGGCGGGCTCAGGCTCATGGAAGGTGAGCAAAACTGGCCGGGTCAGCTCCAGGCAGAAGCTTGAAGAGCCACAGCATGGTTCACCTTGTCTCTCTTTCCCTCTGTGTTAGGAATCGAATTGTGTCCCCCTAAAATGTGTGTTGGAATCCTAACCCCTATACCTGTGGATATAATCCTGTCTGGAAATAAGGTTTCTTGTTGTGGTTATGTGGCCTATCAGTGTAGAGTGTGTCCTAACCCTAATCACCTCTGAGTGATATCAAGAGCAGCACAGACCCAGAGACAAGCAGGCACAGACAGGGATGATAGATGCCACATGAAGATCGCCAAGGAGCTAAGGAATGCCAGGGCTACTAGAAGCTAAAAGAGACAAGGACACCCTTCCCCTAAAGCCACATTCTGAATTTGGAGTCTAGCCTCCTGAGCTGTGAGGAAGTAAGTTTCTATTCTTTAGAGCCACTCACTTGTGGCATTTCTGTTACAGCAGCACTAGGAAGCTAAGGCACTCTGCCATGGGAGAATAAAAGTTTCCAGTAGAGCCAGATCCTTCAGCCTGAGGCTCAAGGTCAAGTCCACAACCGACCCCCAACAGGGTCAAGACATGCGTAAGAAATAAACCTTGGTAAGTCACTGAGGCTTTGGAATCCTTTGTCACTGTGGCAGAATCAAGCCCAACCTGACTGGCACCACAGTGACGCCACTGCTGAAGCTCAACAACGGCAACAGAGGAAGACGGTGTTTGACTTAGATGTGTTTCTGCACCTGACCCCTAGGCAGGCAGGAGGCGGAGGTCGAGAGTTGAATACAGACATAGGGCCCTGGTCCCCTTAAGCACATGGCCAACTGCGAAGCCCAGCCTAACCTGCTCCTGCATGGATCTGAGTCTTCTGATTGCTCCCAGCTTAACCTCACTCAGCAGGCCCTGAGGGGACTCACACGCCTACAGGGACCCAGCACAGAGAAGCAGGGGCTGCTGTTTGGAAGTGGAAAGACCGGGACCTAATCTCAACTCTGATACTTCATTCCCACCTTCCTTCATTCCTCCCATAGGTACTTGTTGTGCCAGGACTGGGAAAATAGACGAGGTCTTTAGCCTCATGGGCTTACATTCAGGTAGGAGAACAAACACTAAGCAAATAAATAAACAAGATAAATGCACACTGAGTAGTGCTCTTAAAGAAACAAGTGAATTGAAAGAAGTTAGGGAAGGCTGCTCCAGGTAAGGGCTTTAGGAAAGGCTTCTCTGAGGAGGGGATATTTGAAATGAAAAATGAGAAATGTGCCAGCCATGCAAAGAGCTGGGGAACGAGGACTCCAAGCAGAGGCGATAGCAAGTGCAAAGACCCTACGGTGGAAAAGAGAATGGCTTGTTCAAGAAATAGAAAGAAGACCAGAGCTAGGAGCAAGGTGTGCAAGGAGAGACTATGCGTGAGGCTGGAGTGAGGTAGGACCCATCACCTGGGGCCTTGCGGGCCCCACGTGGAGTCTGCAGTTCACTGCAAGTATAAAGGGAAACAGAGGGGTCTTGAGCAGGGAAGTGACTGGATTTGATTTATATTTGAAAGATCTCTGGGATGCTGTGTGGAGGATGAACTGGAGAGGGGCTGCAGTGAAAGAAACAGACCAGCTAGGATACTCCTGCAGCCTCGACCAGGTGCTGCCACCACCTCTGTGACCTGAGGAAGACCCTTAACAGCGCTATGTCTCAGTTATTCCATCTGTAGACTGTGGCTGTTGCCTGCACTTCATCTCACAAGCTCTTTGGGCTCCTGGAGTGGAGATGAAGGTTTAGATGGCCTAGCTGACCCTGCATGCTTTTTCTGGAGCCACAGCCATTCCCAGAGCTCATGCATGAAGGCCTCCCCATGCCCGGCCACCTCTGGCCCTCAAGATCCCAGAGACTCTAGCATTTGCCATGACACGGGACACATCTCTCCCCGTGGATGGGACTGAGAGCACACAGAGGCTGGCCAGGAGCAGGGTGGGCAGTTCACATCACCAGGCAGGTGCAGTGGAAGCACAGGCCAAGGTAGAGCCTGGTCAAGGTCTCAGGAGACCAGGAGAAGGGAAACAGAGGCAGGGAGGGTCAGATGAACACTAACCCTGACTGTGGCAGGAGAGATTAACTCCCATCAGGGGATTTCCCAGGAAAACCTGAGCTCAGCACTGGTAAGGGAGGGGAGACTCAGGGCATAAGGCAAGGCTCATCTAGAGGATGCAGCTTATCCAGAAAAACTCGACAGCCAGGATGTGGCAAGTTTGCTGGAGGATGAGGCACCATATAGAGCTAAGAGGAGATGTCTCAGCCAAGGCCACCTAGAGAAGCCAGCCCCAGCTGACCTGCCAGCAGTCTGGAGACACACGAGCAGGCCCAGCCAACATCATCTGAGCCTGGCCCAGATTAGAAGCACCGCCCAGCTGACACATAAACTCATGAAACTCAGTAAATGCTTATTTGTTTTAAGCGTCTGAGTTTGGGGGTGATTTGTTATGCAGCAAGAGCTAACTGATACAGAGGGTTTTTGTGGTCAGCAGCCACTCCTATTTCCCTGCAACAGGTCTCTGCTGAAGTAGCAAGCCTGCTCCTGTCTGAGGTCTCTGCATGTTCAGATCACTGCGCTGGGGGCATGAGCCTGGAGACAGTCTCAGTCTCGACTGTGCAAGTCTTTAGTGGCCTTGTGAAAATGTCCTCCCCTCAGGGAGCTTCAGTTCTCATCTCTAAAATGAAGGGATTGGACCAGATGACTCCCGAGGAGCCTCCTTGTTCCAGGGTTCTATGCTTGGATGACTCTGACCCCTTTATTCAGCCATTCTGTCACTGAATCACAAGATCTGATTCAGAGCCTGCTGTGTGCCAGGCTGTGGCTGGAATCTGGGGGACTCGCCAGCCTGCATGGGGTGGTGGGGCAAAGCGAAGGAAGCAGAGTCTAAAGTCCTCTAACCAGCTGCTGTCGAGTCAATTCTGACTCATGGCAAACACTTCTCCACAGTTTTCAATGGCTGATTTTCCTAAAGAAGATCTACCCCCTAGTTATGCCAGTCCTTGAAGACCTCCTCCCCAACCTCAGAGCATGGCAACAACGTGGAGCCCTCTTCCCCAGAGCCCAGAAAACAGTCCAACCATGGAACCAGGGGGCGATGGACGTGGTGTTCCTCTCAAAGCAGGCACGTCGAGGCAGCTGCTCCTCCTTAAACCATCGGACGATGACTGCTCTAGAGACCGGACGCAGGGGGCGCTTCCAGGCCCTGCTGGGAGAGACGGGGACGGGGGGAGAGCTACTGTGAGATGGATAAACACGAGTCCCACATCCACGCCTGCAGAGAGGACTAAATGAGATCGGGTCCTTAAACCAACTTTGCAGATTACAACACACCACTGGTTGTCATTTTTCCAAAAGCAAACTGTTAGCACTTGTTTTGAAAAAAGCCCCACAGATGGGAGTGAAAGAGAGGCTAGGAGGGGACGTCTGGGGAAGAAATCGGTATTTCCTTCACAAATGGCCAGAGCATAGACATCAGCGTGCATGTCTGAAGAGCGAACATAACAGGGGCAAAATTATGAATATGTGAGTGTTCCCCATCTCCCTCGCCCCCTCGCTGCCCCCTCTACGCCCTACCCTCCCTGCACTCTAAGGGGAAGCCGGCCCTTGCCAGCAGCTCCAGGCTGTTGTGAGCAAAGGCAGGACAGTAAGCAGAGACAAACTGGACAGCCTAGATTTCCACTGGAAATTGATGAGACTTACCGCTGAAGAAACAAAAAGAATACAGCTAGAAGGAGACGGGGAGGGAGAGAAGAAGACCTGCATCTGTTAATGTTTGACAGGTGATTCCAGGAAGGGTGGGAAGATGCTGAGACTGAGCTGAGAGTACTTGAAGACTTTATAGGTAATAAACTGGACACTTTTTTGATATTTTCTCACAAGTGAGCCTGGTTTTTTTTTTTTCCTGCATTTTTCTTTTCACAAATATTTCACTTGTGTTTGTGTCTGAACTGTGGTTCTTAAATGCACACAGAGACTGGGGCACAGAAGACCATGTTATATTGCAGCTGCACTAAAATGAAGCACTGTAAGAGTTCAACAGCACTGATGCGTAACAGGCACTCAACTATTTGTTAAATTGATAAACAGTACCACCACACTGCATTAATCTGATACGGAAATCCAGGATCTGAGGAGAACGAAGGCCCTGGGCCCACCAGGAACAACCACAGCCTTTTCGTACTTTCCAGCCAAATGACAGGAACCTGGTAAATTCTCATGTTGTAATTGCAATCCACCTAATGGTGGGGCAGTTGGGGTTCAGTAGGAGAACTCTTGCCTTCCATGCAGGAGACCTGGGTTCAATCCCCTGCCAATGGCATCTCATGCGCAGCCACCACCAACTGTCAATGGAGGCTTGTGTGTTGCTATGATGCTGAACAGGTTTCAGCGGAGCTTCCAGACTAAGCTGAACTAGGAAGACAAGCCTGGGGATCTACTTCCAAAAATCATCCAATGAAAACCCTATGGATCACAACGGTCTGATCCTGTCGTACACGGGGTGGCCACAAGTCAGGTGCTGACAGACAAGAGCCAACCACAACGGCATCCACCTGATAGGCAACGGAATCTACAGTTCACACTGCTGTCACCGTTTTCACAAAATAAATGTCAGTTATCCTGTTCTGGAGCCATGGTGGCACAGTGGTAAGAGCTCGGCTGCTAACCAAAAGGCTGGAAGTTCAAAGCCACCAGCCGCTCCTTGGAGACCTATGGGGCAGTTCTACTCTGTCCTGTAGGGTCGCTATGAGTCAGAATCGACTCGGCAGCAACGGGTTTTTTGTTTGTTTCATTCCCTGCAACAACACTTTGACCCTGAGCTCAGTGCCCACTTGCAAGCCCAGAAAGAGTCCACTTGGTTTACTTTTACTTTCTCTCAAATGAATTCACTCATACATGCATAAAAACATAAAAACAGCGTGAATACAACTGGAAGAATGTAATCGATGTCACTGAATTGTACATGTAGAAATTTTTGAAATGGTGTAACTTTGGCTGTGTATATTTTCACCAAAAAAAAAAAAAGGTCCTCCATGGTCGAGAAGGGAGAGTGTAGACATGTCGCGGGGTTGTTAACCAATGTCATAAAACAGTATGTGTACTGACTGTTTAATGAGAAACTATTTGTTCTGTAAACCTTCATCTAAAGTACAATAAAAAAAAATTTTTTTAATAAAAATAAAAACAGCGTGTATAATGTCATCTTAGAAAAGATGTAAGAAAGACAGAGGTGAGGTTACCTTAAAAGCCTTCCTCGGTGGACTCTGTTCTCCCAGCCCTTCTTCCCTGTCGCTCTCCCTTGGCCTTGCTCTCTGCTGACCAGCCTTCAGGATCCCCCTTCTCAGCCACCACTGATACCTTCCCTCTTTATCAGGCAGCACAACACAGGCCTGGCCCACCTTCCTCCTCTACACTGGCACACCCCAGCAAGTAACTGTGCTGAGGGCAAAAAGACTCTCGTTTCTAGGACTCATGCTCCTTAGAAAGCAAGAGGAGATTATCAATAACAGCGAAGGAAATCTATTCACTCTTGTCCCTCTTGTCTAAGCAGAGAATCTGATTCCCCAGAATATAAATGCTCAGATGGGGTGTTCCAAGGGCCGTGGGGCCGGAAGTCTCACCTCTGTGCCGGAAATCCCCTCCCATCAGCAGTGTGCCTCCACCCCTCTGCACAGCCAGCCAGGAGTTTGCTGGCCAGAGCCGGCCTGCAGAGCTGAGAGCACCGTGGCCGCAGGCACCTGTCCACTGGGGCAGCCACGGGAGGTGGCTCTCTCACTGCCTGGGTCTGCTGATCCTCGTGGGTGGCTTACGGGAGTCAGCACTCCTGACTGATAACTACTGCAGCCAGCCCGGAGCCAGGCTGCACCGAGCCATTTGGGTTTCAGGAACCAGTTATAGGCAAGGCCTCTCTACTTATGTCCTCAAATCCAGTAAATGAACAAGAAAATTGGACCTCATAAAAATCAAGCATTCGTGCATTACAGAAAACTCCATCACCAAAGCCAAAAGACAAATGACAAACTGAGAAACCTTATCACAGACAAAGGGTCCTCTTCCCTGATATTTAAGCAGCTCCTAAAAATCAGTAAGAAAAAGACCAAGAATGTAATTTTTAAAAAAAACCTAGGGGGAAGGAAGGAATGACAAGACAGATAAAATACCAGTGGCCCTTAAACACATACAAAGTGCTTAATCTCACTCAATCAGATGTGCACACTTAAACTTGCACTGAGATATTATTTCTCACTCAAAACAAAAGTCTGATGACACACCGTTGGCAAGGCTGGAGGGTGAGCGCGCTAGTGGACACACCCCTGCAGAGGGTGAAGTGACCTCAACCATCAGCACTGTAAACGCAGCCTTTGGTCCAGCAGTGACACTGTCGGGGACTGCTCCTGCAGACAATACTGCACACGTATAAAATGAATTTTTCAAGGTTATTCATTAAGGACACTGTTGCTGATAGCCAAAGATTCGAAACAACCAATGTCCACTAACAGATTTGTGGTTAAATAAACTATAGCACATCCAGGCAGTGGAATACTATGCAGCTGGAAACATAAGTAAATAAATAAACTAACTCAGAATTGATGTAAGAGACCACCAAAGCATAGCTAAGGGAAAAAAATCAAGGTGCAGAACCCTGTGTATAATGTGGAAACTTTTATGCAAAAAAAAAACAAAACGGGGGAAATCAGACTTTTCGTGTTCATAACTGCAAAAACAAACTGGAGGATAAACACAACGTGGTGTACATACTCAACAGAATACTACTCAGATGTCAAGAGAAAGGAAGTCTTGATGCGTGCCACACCGTGGATGAACCTTGAAAACAGCACACTTAGTGAAATAAGGCAGTCACAAAAGGACAAATACCGTATGATCTCACTTACATGAAATAAGCAAATAAACTGACACCAACAATTACTAGTGGTAACCAGGGGTGGGAGCACGGGCAAAAGGGGCAGTCTTTGTTTAGGGGGCATTGAGGTTATGTTAGTGGTGGTGGAATGATTTGGAAAAGGATAGCAAGACTGGGTGTACAACTTGAAGAATGTAATCAATGTCACTGTACATGTGGACATTGTTGAGATGGCGTATGTTTTGTTGGATGTATTTTCACCACAACAAAAAAAAGAAACTGGGAGGCTACATAAGAAACTAGGCACAGTGGTTACCTGTGGGGAGAGTGAGCTGAGGGGGTGCAGGACAAGGGCGGGAGTCAGACCTTTCTCTGTGTACCGTTTCATGCTTCCTGCTGCGGTAACCACATAAATGATGAAGGTGGGAGGGAGGGAATGAAGACTGCAGGGAGGGCAAAGGGGTTATGAGTAATCCCAGATCCCAGCTGAAGTAAAACTCAGACCTGCTGTGGTTAGACAGCCAGAAGCACCCACCAGCCAACCCTGGCCCTCAGCAGGGGCAGCGGCCGCCCAGCCATGACGGGGAGGGCTGAGAGAGACCAAACTTTGGGCTTCCAAACAAGCGGAAGGTGGAGGGGCTCCAGGGGACTGCCCTCTCTTAGTGGTCTGACCCTCGTGGGTGGTCACCAGTGTCCTTGCCAAGCCCCTCTGGGAAGGCCAATGTGTGTCGGCACCCTCCTGCACACAACCCCAGCTGATCTGCAAACCTGTTAGTAGAATCAGCACCACCTGGAGATACTAGGGGCAGCCAGCCCTCCTGTGGAGGGGACTGGACCATATTTAACCCATTTGAAGTTTTAACATTACAAGATCTTAATCTGGGGTCTGTAGACCTCTAACAGCCTGGCGTTGTAAGCAAACATTTTTGTGTATTTACATATGCACATTGTACGGGAGGGAAGGATGTACAGCTTTCTTCAGATTCTCAAAGAAATCCTTGACTCCAAAAAGGTTAAGAGTCCCAGAACTCCAGCGTTATTAGAAATCTTGAACCCCTACCCGTCTTCTCTCACCTCCCTCTCCCATTACACAGACTGGGAAACTGAGGCCCACGGAGGAGAAATAACTAGGCCAAAATTTCACAACAAGTCGAGCATAGCCGAGGCCAGAACCCCCTGTCCTTGCCACTTCCCTCTCACTCCCTCACGCCCCCGCCCAAAGCCTTTCCCCCAGCCACCGCCCACGCGGAGCCCCTCCCCACCTGACGGGCACCGTGAGGGGCAGCGGCGGGCCAGAGCCCGAGAGGTGGTGGCAGAGTCTCGCCTCCTGCTGGTGGCTCTGGCCGAGCTCCTGGAACATGGTGCTGAGGCCCGCGACGGTGCCCTTCTGGATGGCGCGGAGCGAATGGCGCCGGTACTCGTCCCGGGCACGCCGGGCACCACGGCTCCTCTCCTCGTCCGCGGCCTTGGAGCGGCGCACTGCAAAGGGGGAGACAGCGCGTCCGCCTGGACCCGCAGCCCAGGAGGGCAAGGCCCAGGCCAGGGGCCCAGGACTCCCGGAGCCGGCCACTCAGGCCCACCGTGGGCTGCATGGACCCTCAAGGACCGGAGTGACAGGGCAGGCTCAGCCCCAGCCAGCAGCCCTGGGGTGGGGGTGGGGGCTCCCTGGTGGGGTGGAGGGATAAAGACACTCAGGACAGCTTGATGTCACTGGCTGTCCCTGTGACCCCAGTCCAGGGTTACCAGGTAACCTTTGGATAGAAACGTTCTTCCCCATATATACTGCCATCCAGGACAACTCCTGAAACCCTGCTTCACCCCCATTATCACCCCCATCCCTAATCCCGCCCCCCACCAGCTCAAGGGCACCTATCAAAGTGATCAGCATCTCCAACCACCACCACTATCACCCACACTCGTTCCTAATCACTCTGTGCCAAGCCCTGGACTCTGGGTTTTTCCTACTTTATCTCATTACAGACACTTCCCCCGACCACCCTGGGGCACATCGTGATTCCCAAGCTATAGCGGGGAAACCCAGCCTCCGGGAAGTTAAATAGCTCATCAGGGAGAGAGCTGCGGCTGGAAGTCAACGTGCCTGGCTCCAGCACCCCACAGCAATTTCCATCACATGGACCCACCTCCCAAGTTCCCTTCACTTAAAAGCTAGGTATATTTAACACTAGAGCCCTGCTTTTCCTACAAAAAGCCCACTCTCATGTTAAAAAAACAAAAACCAAACCTGTTGCCGTGGAGTCAATTCCAACTCATAGTGACCCTATAATAGGACAGAGTAAAGCTGCCCCATAGGGTTTCCAACGAGCAGCTGGTAGATTCGAACTGCCGACCTTTTGGTTAGCAGCCGAGCTCTTAACCACTGTGCCACAAGATCTGAGGAAGGACAGTGACTCGCCTGCTGGGCCAGCAGCCAGGCTGGGCCAGGCACCCTCCTTTCTGTGGCCACAGGTGAGCTGTGGAAACCCCACGCCCCTACGCTGCTGCCCGTCCTTTTTCTGTTTCCTGTGACCTTGGAACTGGCAGATGTGTGTGTTGCAGGGAGAGGAGGAGGATCCTTAGCTAACTGTCACCCCACAGGTTACAGAACTCCAGAGTCCAGAACACAGTCGGCAGGGCTGCATACATCTGGATGACAGAATGCACCCTGGAAGTACTGGACAGAGATGGCCACAAAGCAGACCTTCACTCATAGTGCTCAGCGCCAAGCTGGGAAATGAGACCAAGAAGTACCTCTAACACCTGGAGCAAGGGCATTGTCAGCATTCCGGGATGCAGTGCTCGGCGGGGTGGGCTGGAGCCTCCAGGGAAAGAAGAGGGAGGGGCCACACCTGGGAGAGAATCTGGGGTCGGTGCCCAGTTGCCTGTCTGTATGTTCCAGACACTTAGAGCCAGGCTGCCGGGGAGGGCCCATGCAGTCAGAGAGAGGCTTTCCTCAGAAATAAACACTAGAAGCTGATGCCCTACAAGAGCCAGCAACCCTTGGAAAGTTTATAGCCCCAGAGGGACAGCCACTCAGCCACTGACTGACAGCACAGGCTGCAGCGGAAGTCCTACACAGAGTTAGGAAGACAGGTTTTTGGAACTCAGATAGGCAAGGCCGCTGAGCCCCTTCTCACACAGAGACTAACCTCATCCTCCTGAAGCCAAGCTCTAATCTCGCCACTCTCTTGCTCAAAGGCCTTCAGAGGGGGCAAGACCAGAAGAACCGCCCAGACAAGCCCAGCCTAAATGGCTGACGGCAGAATCGTGAGTAATCAAAAACAGTTGTTGCTTTCAGTCCGTAGGTTTGGGGCTGGTTTGTTAGGCAGCAGTATTTAAGTGATGCATGTTTTACTGAAGAAAGTCCTCCCCATCTTGAGATGATAAAGGTGGCCTGTATTCTCTTCTCAAAGTTTCTCCATTTTGCTTTTCATATTTATGTACCATAGTCGATCTGGAATTAAATTCTTCTATTTTATGAAGTGGAGGCCCCTGGGTGGCCCAAAACTGAAAGGTTGGCAGTTTGAACCCACCGTGTGGCACTGCGGAGAAAGGCCTGGTGATCTGCTTCCATGAAGATTACAGCCTAGAGGGCCCTGCGGAGCTCAGTTCTGCTCTGTAACACATGGGGTTGCCGTGGGT